CTGTTGTTGAAGGTAAGCCGGCCATGGAGAGCGTAACGGGATCAGTTCTGTGCTCCATTTCATCTGGTTTATTTAAATCCAAAAAGAAGAAAGTAAACCCGAGCTATGAATATCTTTCATATTTTTCTCTTTGTTTTTAGTTATACTATAAAAAGATGATGTTGAATTACATCTAACAAACCGAAACATCTTTATGATATACAAGGGAAACCTGTTGGGAAACGTAATAAAATTATTGTTGGTTTCCTGGTAAAGTCGCGCAGCCTTTAGTGTTTTAACTCATTCTGCCTCAGTTTCAAATGAATAAATGAATCTCTATGCCTTATGCTCATGAATTATAAAGTTGAGTCTTTTTGGATGTTCCTGTATTCAGGGATCGCCACAGTATGTCATTGCGTTCTGCTCACAGACTTTGCAGAGTTTAAACTGGTTGCCCTTCCCAATGCTTCAGGGAATTTAACTCTAAGACTAGATTTTAAATATTGTTTTAAATCATTAGCTTTCAAAGCCGGGTCCCATAGTGAGCAGCTGGTTAATCTTGAGGATACCTGGATATTTACAAAGCTCTCTGCCTTTTAGACGCTCTCTCAGACTCTAAGGCCAGCCTGTCGAGCAGTATTCCATCTCTGAACACCAAGATGACGCAGCATCTGACTGAACGCTGCTGCCGCTTCCTGAAAAGCGCCTCAGAGGTTCCACGACTCTACCGCAGGACCAATAAAGTAGGTGGATGTTTCCCCCTGATTCCCCCCATTTTATCATAAACCTTGTCTTTTGCAAAATGTTTCTTTTAGAGTAATTTGCTGCAAATAGAGACTCAAATATTTACATGAAGTTGTCCTGTTTCTTTGGGGGGGGGAAAGAAACATAACAGGATAATTCCCCTTAATATTAATGAAAGTGGAAACTAATACATTTATTTTGAAGTGCATTAAAAGAGAAAAGTCCTAAAAGGCTTTAACTATTGCCTTGGTTTTTAAAATGACTATCAGTCTTTTTTTATGAAAGTAGAAGCCAAATAACTTGCCTTGTAAAATGTATAATAAACCAAAATGATTCACATTGACATTAAAGGAATTTCTGGCAGGGTTTATGCAAACCATATCATCGTAGCCCTTGTCCTAGCTAAGGAAAAGCACCTACATAGCATGATGCAGCCACTTCCATGCCTCACATCACATGACATATTAAGGATGATATGCAGTGTTGATTTTCTTTATTCAAATATAAGTAAATGTTGGCAAAGGCAACATGCATATCTGAAAAGTATCATAACACAGGTAATATATTAGTTTTATTCTGCTCTAGATGTGATAGCTTTTCCTGATTTGACTTATTTGAATTTCCCCATTTGAAGGATTTGCCAGTACGTGCATCAGCATATATGGACAACGCTTTACGGCCATTACACCAGCTCCTAACAGACTCAACAGGCCTGGTCAACCCCAAAACAGCAGAAGAATGGCTCAGAGTTACGCTGTGTGACTGCACACAGAAGTAGGTTTCACCCACAAATGTAGAGAAAACAAAGCCCAGACACAGAAGATGTTATTTCTTGAAGGAATTTCACGTAATCAGTTATTTCTGTCAAAATAACTAGAAGTTATCAAACGGTTTATCATCATATGTTCAGGTACTATGAGACCATCTCAGAGGTGCTCAGCTCGGTGAAAAAGATGGAAGACAGTCTGAAACGTCTGAAACAAGCCAGAAAGGGTGCAACAACTGCTGTTACAACAGGAGCCAATGGTGGACCAACAGATGACAGCAAGATTCGCCTTCAGCTGGCCTTGGATGTTGAATATTTGGGCGAACAGGTAAATGACACTTTAATATACAAATGATCACACTTACTTATCAACACCTCAAAAGAGAAGGAAATAATTTAGCTTTAAGTTACTGTGTCAAATTTTGCTTCTGTTCCAGATCCAGAAAATGGGCCTCCAGCCGACTGACATCTCCATGTTCTCCACCCTGATGGAGCTTGTGAAAGAGGCTCGAGAGCTCGCAGAACAAAGCCAGTAGAACCTTCACTCTAAAATGACGATAAACATCCTGCACACCTCTAAAGTCTCTCGAGATGTGGAAATGTAAAAGTTTTATCTGGTGTAGGTGGAGGTGGTTCCCCTAGAACCACAGAGGAACAGACTTTCCTGTTGGCCACATAAATACAAGAGACGGAATGTTACTGCGGGATCATATATACTACTGTATAGTGTTTTTGTTCTGTACCAACTACTTGAAAGATTTTTTTTTGGCTTTATAATATTTGTAAAAATAATTTTATTTGTAAATGTTAAAGTCGGTAACGGCTTGTTTATGTAATTTCTGTTTAATCTGAATGGAATGATTTTGGTGTTGATGAGGAATAATCAGAAATGAAAACTAAGGACTCTAAATCAAGAATTTAGGAATAAAGTGAAATGTTTATCTCATGATTTAAGGTCTATTTATTAATCCACTTATTGTCTCTCAAGCTACACATGGTTCTATACATTTTCTAGAAGTTCAATTACTATTTCTGCCTTTGTGTCATTTAGCAAAGCAAGAAGATTCAGTTAATCTGTAGTGGAATTGCCAGTTCTTTTAACCCTTAGTGAAGATGTGTCCTGGGACTGATAACTAAGAAAGAACATTGATTTTTGGTTTTAAAGCTTTGTTTTGTTTTTCTTTACAATTGCCCATGCTTTAGACCAACAATGTAATCTAAACATAGAGACTCCACATTATATTATTTATACTTTAAAGAGTTTAAGGCCTCTAAAGAACTTGGAAGGGAAATAGGCCCACAGCATTATACATCCTCTACAATAATTACCAGTGGGTGTAGAGCAGTGATTCCCGAACTGGGGTACTCATACCTCATGTGGTCCATGAGTGCATTGCTAGTAGTACATAAAAATATTTGATTAAATATTATATATTTTGTTACATATTTTCTTGGGTAATAACATAAAATGGGGCTGGGATCTGTTTTGTTTGTTAGGACCCAGTTAATAATATGATTATATTTAGAATTTATATTAACTTCCAGGAAACATATTTATGTTTTTTCTTGATTTGAGATGGAAAAACAAAATGCTCAAAATATTTTCAAAGATTGTTTTTATTTTAGAATTAGTTAGCCATATTAAAACCTTTGCCTCAGATTTTGCCTGCCAGCTAGATGATAGATTTGGTGAGTCTGTTCTTAAATGAGTAATTAAATTCCTCAGCTGGAAATTGATTATTACAAAAAGCAATCATTATCCAGAAATCATTTTCTAAAATTTGAATGTGGAGCGATTGTTGAATTTGTTTCAACTGTTCTTTAAACTTTTTTTTGTTTACATTTTTGACCTTATCTCAGCTCAGATTACTGCAACATTAATGCTTCACTCTCTTTATCATTATCAACACAGATTTGTAGGCCAGAGCAAAGCATCTTTTTTCCTTTTCATTTTTTTTTACGCCTCTATTTACAGAGCTGTGAAAAGCTTTGTGCCCATTTGCAGGTTTTTATTATATTGGTTTTAGTTGCTCTTTAAGGTTTAAGATTCTCAAACTAATTTTTCATATTGGGCAAAGGTAACCAGAGGAAATGCATACCTTCATTAAAAAAAAGGATTTTAAGTTGATTTAATATTAAATAATAATAAAAAAATCTAGTTGGACTAATTCGGCCTTCTTTGAAAAAAATCATCAGCTCTTAAGAAATCTTTTAGAAAGCTTGGTTGAGTTTCACAAACCTCCCCAAGGCCTGATTACTGAAGGATCTGTAGAATTAAGAGATCACATTAAAGTATAGTGGAGGATGTTCTTTTTCAGGTGGATCATCAAAATAAGTGGTCCTAGTGTGGTGATATGTTTATGTAAAACAGTCTTATGCGCTCATCCCCATTTTCACCTACTGTTGGTGAGTCTGACATAGTAGAAAAACTGCTAATCTTATTCTGAAAAGTAAGCTTGTATGAGCGATGCAAACAGCAACTTTTAAACAGAGCGTGCACAAGGAGAAATGGGCTCATGCATGCTCTCCTACGTGTTAAATAGGCGTTCCCCCTCAGGGGCAGTTACAGGGTTGTGCATGTGTTTTTTTTTTTTTTTAAAGGGGAGAGGGCAGGTCTTTTCAAAAATTCACTATACCTTTAAATAAGACCTTTCTAACGAAATGAAGTAGGACCCAGAAGGTCTCGATTATGAATGCATAATGCAGAGATATAAAGAGATTCAAGAAAAGATGAGGAAAAAGTCACTGACATAAAATTTGAAAGAGAGTTTCAGTTACATTTCTGGAGTCTGATCTCAAAGGGGTCATTCACACTCAAACTCTGTAGCAGATTTATTATCAGAACTCTGCAGATAAGAATGGGTCACAATGGGGAACAGAGGGAAATGCTCAGTGGGACAACCAGCTTTTCTTTTCATCTAAAATATTTAAAAAGTGCATTTTTATGATCGTTTCTATAATTTCAGGGCTGCACAGTGGAGCAGTGGGTAACACTGCTGCCTTGCAGCAAGAAGGTTCTGTGTTTTATTCTCGGCCTGGGGTCTTGTCTGTTCTCCCGTTGCATGCATGTTCTCCCCGGCTTCCTCCCACAGTCCAAAAACATGACTGTTAGGTTAATTGGCTTCTCTAGATTCTCCTTAGGTGGGAGTGTGTGTGTGAATGGCTGTTTGTCTCTGTGTTGCCCTGTGATGGACTGGCGACCTGTCCAGGGTGTACCCCGCCTCTCGCCCATAGACAGCTGGAGATAGGCAACAGCACCCCTCGCTGCCCCAGCAGGGATAAGTGTGACGTAATTTTTTATTTTATTTCCCCAGGCTAACTTTTTCTACTTTTAAAATCTCTTTGATCTGAAGAACTTTGGTGTGACAAATCCTTATTCAATAAAATCTGTGGTATGTTTTAGGACTTTAAATCAAGTCAGTTTTCTGGGATTTTAAATGGTCACAACAAAAAAAAAAACAAACCCAGATGAGCCATCCTTTGGGAATGGTTAAAGTTTTATTTAGGCTATCACAAATAAACAAAAATAAACTCTTAATTACAATATTTCAAGGCATTAACTTCAAATAGTAAACTATAACTACTTTATTTGAAACTATAGTAAATGTAAATATTTCCAAAAACAAAGGCTAACAGGTTTTAATCAAGTCGGCAGTAAGAAGTCAGCCTAAAGAATCTATCCATAAATAATATAAAGGGAATCCTGGTGATTCCAGTAACTGTGTGTGCTGACCTTTAATAACCATAACACTGTTGAATACTATAAGAGTTATTTGGCTTTAGCGTCATCTCTCTTTTTTACCGTTTGAACATTCTTTTCAGATGCATCAGCAGTATTAAACACCTCTAAATAGTGGGGTTGATGATCTTGCCCAGCAGCAGTATGGATCCATAATACTCCTCTATAACAGAAAAAAAGAACGGCCTGTTGATGGACAGCTTCAGAGCGATGCCTGGTTCTGGGACCATGTCCTGAGGTTCTGCTCCATCTCCTGACATCTCAAACATCACATTGTTGATTGCCTGACATGGGAGGGAAGGAGTTATTAATGACACACACACACCGACTGGATGAACATGACTGTACGTCTAGTTTACCTTATCTATGGAGAAAGGTTTGATGTCGCTGATCCGGCTGAACTCGGCCTGGGAGCCAATCAGTGTGGGCTCAAGAGGCGGATTCATGGTGATCAGAAGGTCGCGGATATCAATCACAGAAGACAGGGAGAATTTAGGGAGAGACAGCTCCAACAAACTAAGAAAGAAAAAATATCTAAAAATTAGAAAGTGTATAATCTAAATCTTTTCTCCTTCAGTCAAGAACTTTGTTTCTGTTACACAGATTTATTGAAGAACTGAGACAGATGCCCCTCTACAATGACTGCAAAACTGTGTTCTGTTTAAAATCCTATTTGAAATCACATTAAATGCCCAATAAACCCACAATTGTAACTTTCTAGAGCCAAGAGCTTTATGCGTTCCAATCTTATCTCCCAGTATGGCTGCTCTGCAGACAAGACATTGTGAAATTGCTGATAGAAACATTTTCTTTACAGTTGCTTTGGTTTGCCATTAAACCCTTTGAAAATAGTTATGAAAATATCCTTTATGAAAACCTTCCTCTGTTGGTTAAATGCATAAAATAGCAAGTGACAAATGATCCTCCTGTATAGTAGCTAACCAGAACAAATACAAAATCTCTTTGTTTTTAGACTTTTAATATGTTGTGTTTTATCCTGTTTTTACCAATACAGCAAGAAAGCTGCCAAAATCAGAAATTCCACTTTGGAAAAGACAGATGTTGCAGAGTAGCCCTCAATATGACATCTTCCAATATAAAATGTAATAAAATATTCACATATAAGCTTTTAAATAGAAATTCTGGCCATTTTTATCTAATTAAACCAGCTGCACACATTGGCTGTTTGACCTTTACTGGTGGAAATGTTATTTTGGTATTTAAATTAGTGAGATAGGAAGAAACCTGTTATTATCTTGCACTTCTTATAGCAGCGAGCATCACAGCGTTCAGCAAATTCACCTTGTTTTTTTTTAACACCACACCTTCAGTGCTAAATTTAGCATGAGAAAACAGGAGAACACAAGTTTGATCAAATCTCTTCTCTCACCCTTCCTGGAGGTTCCTGTGCCAGCCATGCATGAGGTTGGTGAGCAGTTTGGATTCTACATGATCGAGGGTATTTCCTTTGTGAGGTAAAATGAGTAACATGTAGGACTTTTTACTGAGTGACAGCTTCACAACAGTGCACCTATTCACCTTGAATGAAACAGCATAAAGCAGAGAATTCAAATTCCATGTTCATCTAATGCATCATTAGCCCATGAATACACGAAATAAGAGAAACTTTGAAGACGTTGTACCTTATCGTTCAGGTAGTGGTAGTGAGTTGTGCGTGTCATCACTGAAGTCATCACTTTTGTTGTTTCATCCACATGAAACTCTTCCATGGAGGTCTTATCTGGCTGAAAAGCTGTCAACCAGTTACCTTAGCAGAAACAAACAGAAAACAAAGTCAGGTTTAATTAGGTCAGTAATTACTGTTATAATTAAATTGGAAACTAGGAGCAAACCTTTAAAGCTGAAGGATGACAGGAACAGAAGGTTATTGCTTTGGTGCAGGCCTTTGAAGACATTGTTCACTTTTCCATCTGACGTCTTCTGCACAAAGCTGTTCACCAGGGTCTCTGCCTCTTCAGGCTTTGAGAAGTCCACACCTCGGTTAAAAGATTGATCTGAGAAGTCCTGTGTTCCTTGAATAAAGTCTCTGGATAGCTGAGCATCACTGCGAGGAAAAGCCCACACCTGGGTAGTGATTTCATCTCTAGGCCCATCGTCGACTAGAGAGTTGATGCCTTGTAGTGTACTGAGGATCTTATGTCCATCTACTAAAGATACACAGTCCTCTCTGTCGGTACCACTGCTGAGGCCAAGGAATTCCTAAAGAAAGCAAAGGATTTTATCCTTTAATTAAAACTAAATTATGTTTTCCAAACATATAATAGAAAAGAATTCAAATTTATTGTCATTACACTGTCACAAGTAAAAAGTTACGAAATTAACTCTCTGCATTTAAGCCATTCCCTTGGGGAAGAGTGTGGGGTTAAGGGTCTTGCTCAGGGACTCAGAGTGGCGTCCGTGGGAGTGGGGCTTGACCTCAGGACCTCTGGGACCCAAACGCAATGCCTTTACCACTAGGTCACCACTCCCCCAGTGTAATACCGTAATTTTCGGACTATAAGCTGTGACTTTTTCCCAATTTTTCGACCTTGCGGCTTATATAACATGCGGCTTATCTATGGACTTTTACAGCTAACGGCCACTAGGGTAATACCTACATCTATTGATTTTACCATCCACCATGTTGACGTCACATTTGCTTCAACACAGAAGTACGGTAGCTGCTCGCGGGAATGCGGAGGAATACCGCATTCCCGCGACTTCTACCGCAGACTTCTACCGCCAGTGGTATGAGACAGAACAACAGCGAGAAAGACAGACATTGCGAGTGCAAGACAGTTTGTGTGACACCCTCATTATGGAAAACAAACGTACCGGTAGAAATAAAATTAGAAGCTTCCCCAAACAGTTTCCTCTTTCCCAACAATCCTCTCTGTGCACAAATCATATGGTATTTAAACATAAAAAACCTGCGGCTTATAGTTTGGTGCGGCTTGTATATGTACAAATCATGCAATTTAGCTTCTGCGGCTTCTATTCAGGTGCGGCTAATAGTCCAAAAATTACAGTAATACAAATGTCCCAAAACTACCTGTGTATAACAATTCAAAGACATGCACCTGATAAGAGCGTGCCGTCTTCTTAGAAGCTCCTAGGTAGAAAGCAACAAGTGATCCGAAAGTGTTGACAGCAGACAAAAGGGTGTTGGTGTTGTTCTGTTTCCTGCTGAGAGCGTGGTACATCCTCAGGCCCAGAGGGTTCAGTAGTCCAGACAGGACCGCGGTCCTCTCTGTCATGTTCTGCTTCTGTGTGTCCAAAAGAGAAAGGTCTCTGCTGTCTGGGGTCAAAACCTCGATGTCAAGGGATCCCACAGGGATTGTCTCAAAGGGTTTATCAGCTGAGCTCTGCAATGTCTCACAGCTGACATTCTCAACAGCAAAAAGATGGAAGGGGTGAATGTAGACACGGTTGGCTTGGCTTCCAGCCACTGAGCAACATATCAGGGCCACCAGCACATGTGATCGTAGCATTTTTCCTTTTGATGATTGTTTCTCTGTTGGTAAACACATACATGTTATTCAGTACATCGTGTTTTATGTCATAAACCACCATCTCTATAGGGACATTGAACTTGAGTTTATCTAAAACTGGAATAGGGTCATAAGAACTGGTTTCATCACAACTCTGGCTACATCTGGTTTTGGGTCCTTGAGAGGTCAGCTGGAAAGGCTGACTGACGGATTCAGGTCGAGCTAACAGACAGCTCAGTTACCTTTCTTTGTTTGAGCTTTGGGACAGACTGGATATTGACAGGTGTATCATTGTTTAGGAATTATAGTTTACTTTTGAAATAAAAAAGATGGATATTCCTATGAGACATAAACAAAAATAAACATCCTAAGGGATTTAGGAATGTTGTATACCAGCCATTTGATAGCACTCTTCTAATTCTACCAATAGTGGCAGTCTATCCAGCCAGAGGCATGATTCCAGGATTATTGATGAATTCAAAGAGCGTGTAATTTCCTTGCAAATTGCTGAAAAAGATGTAATAATAGTATGGGTATACATATTCAAGCCTATATGTAAAATTTACGTGAATATAATAATAATAAAAAAAACAACAACAGAATTTTATCTCTTGATTTGAATGTGTGGACTGATGGACTCTTGTGCAAACGTGTTTTTCTCAGCTGTTTAGACGCGCAGCAGCACAGAACACGGCCTTGGTTTCTGATCAATAAAGACGGCGCCTAAAGTGCAAACAGCCACTCTGTAACTGAGAACATTACTGAGCTGCAATGATTTATATCAAACTAACCTTCAGACAATAACACTTTGTATTCGTAGTGTATTCTTTTTGCACTTTACCATCAAACAAAACTTTCTTTCAAACTTAAAATTTGTAAATGCAAAGATTTTCTATAATATTTCAGGTATCTAACCTCTTTAGTTCATCATAGGACTCAAAATCTCATGCATCTCATATGGGATAAAGACAACATTTCCACTTACCTTGTGGGTCTGCAGTGAAGGAGTGAGGTTCAGAATGAGGTCCTCTGTACTCTGCTCCTTTACTTATGTCCAGCTGGTCAGCAGCATTGGTTACACATTAACCAAAGATACACTGAGTCAGGGGCTTTACTGTCATGAATCATAGTTCGCCTTGTACTGATGAGCAACTGCAATAGATTTATCAGGAGGTCTGACAGAGAGAAGTAAGAGAGGGGGGTAAAATTCCATAAGTTTACCAGGAAACACTTCAACTTGTTTGTATTTTTTTTCAATGTTGTTATTCTGTCTGAAATACCATCATGTGGTGGAAATGTTTGTTTCCAGCAGGATGGAAGTAGTTTTCATCAGCATGGGGGCCAAAGCAAATAAACCAGTGAGTGATATCAACGTCATAATGTTGACGCTGAGGTGCAAGTGATGAGAAAAGAGAAAACAAAAATTAATCTGCTTTTTTCATACAGAGAAATTAATGTCTGAAGTTCTCGTTGGAGGTTACACCAAAAAATAAACAACCCTGCAGGAATAAATACCATTTGTGTTCTGATTGCTGTTGATCTCATCTGAGCTACAACATCGTCACGTGTCACACAAAAATTATTGTTTATTCTCTCGCAAAATGCTGACTCTGGATCCAAAGCTTAAACAACCAATTCTCTTTACGGTTACACTTAATCTCATCCTCGTATAAATGGGTCCTTACTTTGTGCACGGTCCTTACTTTCACCAGAGTCCTGGCTTAAGTTCAAATGAGAATCTGTTAAGGGAGCTAAAGATTGGGGTAATTGTAAGGGAATGGTCCAATATCAGACTTTGAGCATATCACAAAGATAAATAAATTAAAGCACCAGTGGAAAAATACTAAAATGCTGGTCAATAATGTCTAAAAACGATATGATACGATTGTTGCAAAAAAGGCCACAAAAATTATTTAGATTTTTATGTCCGTACAGCTTCCAAAAAACAAAAAAACATAATTTAATAAATACTTATTTTATATATTTCTTTTAGAAGAAAAATCACCATTACCACCATTATTATATGTCATTAAATATTTATTGTGAGCGGTTAGGGTGTCAGACTTGGATCCCAAAGGTTACCGGTTCGACTCCCGACCCGCCAGGTTGGTGGGGGGAGTAATTAACCAGCGCTCTCCTCCATGACTGAGGTACCCTGAGCATGGTACTGTCCCGCCACACTGCTCCCTTGGGGCGCCATTGCACGGGTGAGGCATAAATGCAATTTCATGGTGTGCAGTGTTCACTTGTGTGTGCTGTGTCACAATGACAATGGGAGTTGGAGGAGTTTCCCAAAGGGCTTTTCACTTTTCTTTTTTTTTCACTTATTGATGAAAAGCAGTTACAAAGGCAACACATGCCTGTCTGTGTCAGCGGATCCTAACACGTTTGCAAAAAGGAGTATTCTTTCTTTACATGTCATTTTTTTAAATGCAATATTACAAATGTGTTCTTTTTTTCCCAATGTTTTTATTATCTTCTTAGAAGCTGGTCTCTGCCTAGATTCATATAACTTTCTGGCTTATTTGTTTTTTGACTTTTCTGACAGATCAGGGCATGAAGTGTTTCTGTCATGATCTGGCCTGTTTGCTCTCCCTAATTAGTAATTCCTCTCACCTGCCGATTTCCCTCCCTGCCTCTATTTCAATTTATTCCCCACACCTTTTTCCTCTGGTTTAAATTCAGTTCAGCCTGAGCATTCAGGGCCAGATCATTGCTTGTCTTTCTGTCAGTCTGTCTGTTCTGTTTTAGTTCATGGTTCATGTCCTGGATCCTAGCAGCCAGTGGAGAGAGGGGTCCACTGTTCCTCCCCTGCGGAGTCCTCTGGGTTTTTGGCTCAATATGTGGGGAGGTTCAGTTTTTATCCAGTAAGCCTGGCTCCAGGGAGGAGACCAGTTTAAAGTCCTGCGTCAAGTTCCGGTTCCACGTCCTGTCTCGGCTACCCTCTTCCACTGAGCCTGCCTGTCTGCACTTCATCCTGTCTGCTCCTGTGCGTGACCACCTGGTCATGCTTCTGGTCCCAGTCAGACTCTGAACCCTCCTGGGAGCCTGTGGATGCCTGGAAGTCTGGATCCTGCCACCTGTTTCTGTTCCTGCCTGATCTGGATCCTGCCTGTTCTGTCTGTTCTGGATCCCTGACCAGGATCAGCTTCCAGCATGACTTCTGGGACTGCAGCACTGGGGACGCTCGTGGTCTGGACTGTTAAACCAGGTAAGTGACCAACTCAGATAATCTTCTGTCAGATGATCGTGGTCACTTACCTGTGTTTCTCCAACTACAGAGTGTCTGAGATTGGGCGGTGCCCCGCCCCCCCGCCTGCAGTGTTCGCGAACCACAGCTCCCCTTTAGTTTTGTTTTCTTTAATAAACGTTTGAACTTTCCTACTGACTGTCTCTCCTTGAATTCTGGGTCCATCTGTCCTCGTTTCATGACAGTTTTTTTTATCAAATTCCTGTTCTACTTCATATTGTCAAAATTGTTCTATATTAGTGCTTTTACTGATTTTACATGTCTGACAGTCAGCAGGTTTAGGTTGTAGGAAAGGAAAATTAAACCCAAAGTCAGATAATCTTTTTCCGTATCATTTATTGCAACTTTGAAGGGTTATTTATTACTTTTACTTGAGCTGTTTTAATGTTCCTCTGCCTAACTGCACTTAAAGTTCATTTTTATTTGTTTTTGTATTTATATCTATTTATATAATTTGTTGAGTAATAAATAGAGAGTTGAGTTGAGTGAAGTTTATGCTTCATTATCAACCATTTATGGCCACATACAGTTTGTTGCATTTTGTCTTGTAGCAAGAGATTCCTGGAGTCCTGCTGTGAATGTGCATGTCCTCCCTGGGCATAGACTGTATCTCTCCTGGTCCACTGGCTTCCCCCAACAGTCCAAAAACATGTACCTGATATTTTCTGTACACAAGTTGTCATTTCATGTAGGCGTGTGTTGCTCAGTTTGCCCTGTGATAAACTCTTGACCTTCTAAGCATTGACTCATTTAAAGTTGTTCCAAGCAACACAGGAAGACTGAAATTGAAGATCCTCCCAAATGCGTTTGGAAGAGTTGCTTCTTAAACCAAATTTTGATTTGTATTTGATGCTTAACTGTATAAAATGTTACCCTAACCCAGAGGTTCCCAAAGTGGAAAAATGGTCTGTACTTATATATCTAGTGCCTTTTCAAGTCAGGAGACTTGACCAAAGCATTTTACACTACATTTTGTCTTTCAGCCATTCATGCACACAGCGTTGGTGGCAAACTACATTGTAGCCACAGCTGCCATGTGGCTCACTGACAGAAGCAAGGCTGCCATGCATTGGCGCCACCACTCTGACCACTATCAGTAGGCAATGTGGGTGAAATGTCATGCCTGGCTTAAATTCAAGAGAGAATCTATAAAGGGAGCTAAAGATTAGGGTAATGGTAAGGAAATATTCCAATCTCAATGACTTTGAGTACATCACAAAGATAAATAACTAAAGCACCAGTCGAAAAATACAAAAATGCTGGTAGCAATGTCTAAAAAGGATCCAATCGTTGCAATTTAACACAAACATTTCCCCACTGCCTTCTTAAGACCAATGAAAGCTGGATCCAGAGCTTGAACCCTCCAGTTGCTGTGTAAAGTTGTCCTTTGCTCCTCTTGGATTAATTACTAATCAATTATTTAATTTTCACTGATCTATTCTGCAGTCAGTGAAACATGTTTGTTTGAGGAAAAAAAACAAAAAACAACTTCGATGTACACTAAAAGGTGCCCAATAAGAAAAGTTAAAAGTTTATATCCTTCACTGCCACCATTTTGGTTTACATCAATACATTTGATATAGTTCTCTGGATTGGTTTCGTCAAAGGAGAAAAATAAGCAAATGAAAAACCACTCCAGAGGACTAGCTTGACATTTTTTTAATATACCTGGCTTGTTTAGATGCATCAGGATATTTTTTGTTTTCGTTTTCAGTCTTTAAGAAGAGCTCACCCATTTCTGCTCCTGGTTTAAAAGTTTTCAATTATCTCTATAGAAATATAATTTTTGGTGTTGGTTGACCAAAGTGTCAGCAATGTCAGAGAAGTGATAATGTTCGCACTAGAGCAAAGTTTTAGCTTCTAGCAAAGATGTAAACCATAGCCATCGAAGCTTAGCTGTGGAGCATCATGTCTCTCTCCCTTTCACTTTCAGTCACACTTCAATGGTGCAGATATCTGAATAACTTCTGCTTCTTGTTCCTCCTGTTATTTCCAACAGCAAACAAATAATTTGGGAGGAAATCGAACAGCGCGCATATGTTGAATTTTAAATCTGTCATTATATTATAATAAAAGGTACATCTCTGGTATTAGAGTGGAAAATGTGCACCTGATTCAACAAGAGGGGGTTTAGTTCCTCATAAAGAGGAAATAAAAAACTGTTTTACAGCGCTTGTTAAATCTCCTGAGAACATTCAGTCCGTCACAGTAACCACAAAAGGAAGGTGATAAGAAAAAAAAACAGGTCCTTGTGGAGAATCACAATACATTCTCTGGCAAAACAGGATGAAAGAGTATCCTATTCTGCACTATAGATAAGCCAAAACTGTATAAACAATATAAAAATGTTCATATAGGATTAAAATATACCTGTAAATATCTTCTATCCGAGAATCTTCAAGAGGCTTATTTTAACTTCACTTGATTAATCCGATATAGTAATAGCCCTCCTAAATAACACCTACTACTATCCAATTTTTAAGCTGTTAAAGCAAAAGTAGACAACAACCCAAAATAGTTGTAAGTATACACACTTGTATAAATAAGACCTGATGAAACCGTGGATTTAGCCTTTTTTTGTGTTTTTGTTATTCTGTTTTTGTTATTCTTTTAGAAAACTGATATATTTTACTTCAAAATATTTTTTGTTGAGGAATCTTAAATAACTCAAAAGTAAAGCGATTGATTAAAAATAAAATAATAAATTGCTACCATAATCAGTACACTGCAAAACAAAATGTGTTTATAGTTTTTTATATTTTTTGGCCTAAACAGTAATTTAAGTTGGTTGAACTTTAAAATATAAATTATTGACATTTTAGGCAATAACATTTGTTAGCGCAACAAAGCAAGCCA